TTAGTTGCTGAGTCTGTGAAAGGGATCCTTCTTGTGTAGTATGACTTGTAAAAGTACATGTCTTGTAAAAAGATTTTCATGGTTGCTTGCTGAATCAACATCGAAAAATGTGTTCAACCGAAATGTATGCAAGGTCGCCGAAAAATCATTATGAAATGCATTTGATTGTATTTTTAATAACTTAGAAAAAACATGCCGATGAATTTCTCTTGTCTTGCTCATTTTAGCCACGGAACAGGGAACCTTGATTATCCAATAAAAATAAATATTCCCTGGATAAATGAAGGTGTCCTTTTGGCTCTCCAAGATATGGTAACCTTACATGGAATGCTTTTTTAAATCTTTAATCATGCTTTTAATCTTTGGATGCTTCAGAGCTCAAGATCTCATGCAAGTAACTTAATTGTTGCCTATTTGACAGATGTATGATGCAAATGTTTTTTTTTTATACAAAATATATTTCATATTTGAGAAATCCCAAAAATAATTCCTATGTACTCTACATTTGACAATTTAAAATTCTAAGACTCCCTGAAAAATCCTTCATAGATACTGAAAAAATATCAGCACTCTTAACCTCTTCAGACCCGATGGCAAAGTTGCATGCAAAATTTGAAATCCTTTGGCTCGTTGCCTAAGTTCCACCTCCGATGGTCAAAGCAAGAAACCCAATATTTTCATCTTTCTTGGTATTGGAGGAATAGAACGGGATGTGTACATACCACCGGATTTTCCTCCATAAAGGTGCGCCATTGACGACATGCATTATTTTTTACCGTAAAAGAAACTTATGGAAGCCAATCATCGGGACCGGCCCCAGCTATTTTGGCGTCCTGCGAAGAAAGACTCTCAACGCCCCCCCCCCCCCCCCCCCCCCCCCCCCCCCCCCCCCCCCACCCCCCCCTCCCCCNNNAAAAAAACCCCCCCCCCCCCCCCCCCCCCCCCCCCCGGAAGGGAGAAGGGTCTAGCCCTAGCGTCCAAAATGTCGCCGAAACGGACGGCATTTCCATTTTCAGAAGTAAAGCCGAGTAGCATCCATTATTGCTTCATGCATTTAGTCACTTTTAGACGACCAGGGTGAATTTGCGCCCTGTGGCGGAGCACATGTGGCACATGCCTAAGGCCGGCCCTGCCAATCACCAAGGCTCGTATTCGAAAATGTTTCTAGGCCCTCGTCACTGACATTACACCAACAATAGTAGCAATTAAGCTGGATAGTATTTCGGAAATACACAGGTACTACGCGGGCGGTCATATTCAAAGAAGCGCCAAGTTCGCAAGCCTCTCCTGTGTTGCAAACTGAGTCCAATGAGGCGCATGCATTTTTTTTTTTTAACTTTGATTTCCTTCTATGGCTTACAGTGCGATCCATGACACAGATGCGATTTCAGCAGGGATTTCAACGTGTTAATGTTTGGTATGTGTACATGCCACAGGGTCTGAAGAAGTTAAAGAAAAAAAAAAGGCAGCTAATGTTGAGCTTGTTGAAGCAATGAATAGCTCAGTCAAGCTTATCACATCAATTACAATCAGATATGCTCTCGTTGGTGTTACATTGAAACCTAACAAATCAGGTACAATCAGAACCAAACTGAGTGTAATTCACATTTTTCAAGTTCATATTTAGTAAGAAATAGAAGCATTTCAGCTTAAGGTAGATTGTGATTATGGTTAGGTATTCGCTTGTTGCAGAACCACTCCAGCATAAGAAAATCCACATATTTTTTTCCACATAAATGAAGCCAGTATCCCTGAAATTCCAATAGCAAATTTTCCAAACAGATATTACAGCTGTCCATAAAACACCCTAAACTAACTGTACAAGTCAGAGTAGCTTTATTGTTTCTCTGTTCAAAAATAATGCAATAAAACTGGAATACTCTTCAATGCTAAAATATTATTTAATTCCTTCCTTATCCCAATGGAGGCATGCATAACAAACCGGTAAGACTCTACTGTCATAGTCCTTGTAGTAAAAGGAATACTACCAGTAATGCGCTAATAATTAAAGTAATTAAGCTGATTGATACTGATCTAATGTGAAGTTGGAGGTAGCTATCAGAAAACTTATGAATACTGCTATAAAGTGTCCAGACAACAACTAACTCACGACTTAGCTGACAGAGCCTCAAGAGTATCCTCCAACACGTCCTCACGCTACGAACGCTCGACCAAGACCAGGGTGCTTTTTCCTGGTATTAGTCCTTCTTTGTCTTGAATTATCTCTCTAGCCAAGTCAGGAACGATGAAGTTGGATGTTGAACGGGTTACAGCAATCACGGGGTGGCGACTTCCGATACACTGAAATATCTTCATGCGGCGACTTAAGAAACAATGGCGACATCTATTGACAAGTTAATTCACAACTTTGCAGCCTTCGAACACAATCTAAGTCAGTGTGTGACAGGCACATCTCAAGAAAGCACTCATACGATCAATAAAATACTGAAACAATCTTCTGCCATTTCATACATCCAGGCTTTTTAAACATGACACTGAGCTATTTGTGCACTTCTGGTAGGACTTCAATGGCATCAGTGCCTATCTTTTATGTTTACCCTGCCCCATTTTCAAATTTCTCATGTATTTTGTAAGCTTTTCCCCCAGAAGTTGGATTCTTGAATTTGACTTTTTTTATTTGTTACTTCTTTTATATACTATTTTCATTATTCCATTTTTTTGTGATTATACTTTGATCACAATTCAAATTTATAGTTATTAAAACAATCTAATCTGAGATTTGGAAGAACAAAAAAATAAAGAGGGGAAACCCCCAGCAAAAGCTGAGGTGGTTTTTTTTTTATACCTCAATGAAATGGTGACCTCGGAATGCTAACCAGGGAGTGGGAAGTGATGTATAGTAATTTTGACCAGTGGCGACAAAAATTGCGTCCAGTTTTGGAGGCCTACAAACAGGGGTGAATTGTTGGCACTCAAGGGGGTACAGAGGAGGGTGACAAGAATGATAAAGGAGATCTGGGGACTTCCGTGCGAGAAGCGTTTAGAAGTGTTGGGACTGTACTCACTTGAGAGAAAGTTAAGGAAGGGCGATCTCACCCAGGCTTTCAAGATCATTAAAGGTATACATCATTTTGAGCGTGGTAGGTTCTTCCAGTTTGATGGCAGCAAGAGAACGAGAGGTAATGAACTCAAGCTGCGTAAACTGCTGTAGCGGATCAGATCGAGACAGGACTTCTTTGCCTGTAGGGAAGTGAAAAATCACGTTTGTATGACTTTTACATGGAAATTGGGTTGTCACGACAGCAGTTTTCAAAACATCGATGGTATCGACCTGAAAAATCGATAGTGTATCGATGCATCGGGGGGGGGGGGGGGGGCGCCGGAGGATTCAATCTTTTCTGATGAGATCGAGCGAAGACAGAAACAGAAGAGAAAAAAATATTCTCGGTCTTCCTCCTTCCTTTCCCACTTCCTGTCTCCGATCCAAGATGGTTTTTTTCCCCTTCCCGTATTTCATGTAGTCAGTCCCAGCATTTCCAGAATTTAATTGCGATTAGACATTGCAAGCCCTTGTGGGTCACGCAGCTTCTTCCTTTCCCCACCTGGACGGACTATATTGTACTGTGCTCGCCTCGATCCAATGGGGCATTTCCCCTTTAAAATCTTTTGCCGATACATCGCGATGATCGAAAAAAACTATCGATATCTTCAACCATCGATAGTGGTAGCGATGCATCGAAACGTTTCCTGCTTCCTATTCCATCCATTTGGAGTCTCTCTTCGAGACTTCATGGTCACCATCTAGTCATCGCATTTCGTGGCGAGTCAGCAGGTTTCACATCTCAAATTTCCGCAACTTCATCGATGTCGATCATCAGCCATTTCAAGTATACTTCATAGTATACTACATACTGATGAGTTTTAAGGAGGCAATATTTACATCCGGCTAATAAATTGTTCAACTATTAAAAATAATGCAGTGTAATTGTGCGCCTCATTCTGGTATGTAATAGCACGCACGTGTCACTGTGTTCCCCATCACCTTGTGAATCGTGTATATGGTAATTTTGGCTATTTCAAGTTCGATGCTTCGGCTTAATTCTTTACAGGACCCTGGTCTGTTTTCGTAAATGCATGACTTTAAAGTACCCCATTGAAAAAAAATTTGGGGGCTGTAGAGTCACGCCTCTGGCCGGGCATTAAAAATCTCCAAGTACTGAATCGAGATGGTTCAGAAACAACTTTTTTTAATTTTCAACTCCTTTAGTGCGCGGGCAATACGGGCAGTTGCCCCATCCTGTTGGAACCAAAATTTTGATTAAATCCTACCTCCTAATGCTTTGGGAACCGGGTAGAACAGCCACAGTTAAGTTTGAACGATACTCCAGGTGAAAGATGAACTTCTCATCCCAAGACTCTAAAATATTTCAACTTTCTGCCAGCGCACCAAAAGTGGGTGAAGTACTTTAACACCTCAAAAAATGTAGACTCTCTCTCAGAGTTGCTAAAGATGTCAAATTTTTTCTTTGCTGTTCCTTCTCCACGTCTGTGGAGACTTTTTTCGCTAATGCAAAGCCAGTGGACACTAAGCTAAGTTGTTCTTTTAACTGTACAAGTCAGAGTAGCTTTATTGTTTCTCTGTTCAAAAATAATGCAATAAAACTGGAATACTCTTCAATGCTAAAATATTATTTAATTCCTTCCTTATCCCAATGGAGGCATGCATAACAATAAAAAAAATCCACCACATATGGCAAAAAAAACAATGGGAAAATTCCAAAACTTGATCATGGGAAAATTCACTTCAAGGGAAAACTTTCAAGGGGAATTGGGGCAATGGAATGAATTCCTTGAAGATTGAGAATACTTTTCAGAAGATAGAAAAAACTTGTTCTCTTTACCCATGACTAGCAAGTTGATATCCAGTGCAATCCCTGATCATATTGGAATCATGTCAGCTCACATCTTCAACATGTACTGGAAAGAAAACCTGACAATGAGATTGCACCAACTTTAAAAAGGAAGCATAACAAGTTCATTCAAGTCCTGGCTTGAGCAGCAGCAGCTTGTTGAGCTCGAATGAACTCAGGATAGTCAATGAATCCATCCCTATTATGGTCATCACTCTTGAGAATTGGATCAATCATGTTGGCCAGTTCCTCATCAGAAAAGATTTTTGGTTCAGGCATTGGCATGCCAGAGTTTGGATCATGGTTACGAGGATCTGAAAAGATCAACAGCACATTCTGCCAAATTAAATATGCTCTCAACAGAAGACATCCAACTCACATGGAGGGCTTAAATCAGCACATTCCAAAAATACATAAATAAGAAGACTAAGTACAAAACTTACCATGCCAATGCACAAGTGATTTGACCAGCTCACATCCATCTAGCCTATTATTATTGTCAGCATCATGCATTTTGAAGTAATGAAATTGGAGTTCCTGCTCAGTCATCTTTGAAGTGTCCACTGGCATGTCCATGTGGTGTTGGATGTGGCTGAGTAAGATCAAAACAAATGTACACATAGAAAAAATTTTAATTCATGACATCAATAGAGAGATTAAGGCCTCACTCTCGTTCCTGAGCAATATGGTCCCTGTCAAGAGGTCTGCCACCATGTCCATGATCGTGAGCATGACCACCAGGAACTCCTCCTCGGGGCTGAGGTGGAGGAGGTGGAGGTGGTTGGCCCTGTATGGGTGGAGGTGGTTGGCCCTGTATGGGTGGAGGTGTCATACTTTGATGTGGAGGAGGCCCACCATGCTCATAATGCTGTGGAGCAACACCAGGTGGGAGTCTTGGATTTTGATGACAGCTAACTTCCAGAAAATATAATCCAACCAACAGGATACCAAATGCACTGGAATGCTTCATAGCTCTCATTTTATTCCCTGCATAAATACCATGATAAATTCATTATAGAGGGCAAAAGACAAATTAAATGATTTAAAGAACCACTACAGCATACCATACTCATCAATATGGCCACCTCCAGATGAGATGTGATGACTAGTACAGATGAAATGAACTGATTAACATATCCCAGTTAAGAGTCTACACTGAACTTAACACAATGAACTCCAGAACCATAATTTTATGTTTTGACATAGTCTAGTTTCATGTGCTCTGGACTCAATGTGTTAAGCCAGACTTATTGTTTTGCCATGAAAGTGATCTTACTTGTTACATGTATCTTAACACGTTGGCGACAATGAGTCCTGATGCCAGGATGCAGATTTTTTTTCAATGAATACCCTCTGGAACTGTTGCGAATGTTCCAGAATATTATGATTTCATAATTACTGATAAAAATTCCAAAAAATTCAACATTTTAAAAGAACTCGGCAAAAAAAAATGTTTTCTGGGACCATGCGTCCTGATGGCAGGACGCATTTTTTGACAAAAAAAATTCGCATGGTCCCACACGGCGGACAAGCAAAAATAGGCTGGTNGTCCTGATGGCAGGACGCATTTTTTGACAAAAAAAATTCGCATGGTCCCACACGGCGGACAAGCAAAAATAGGCTGGTCGTCAACGTGTTAAATTAGTAATGATCTCCTAAGAGAAGTAATTTTAAAAAAGAGCTCATTTATAAAAGTTAGCATTAAAAAACTCCAAAAACAGCATAAAATAATTTTTGCCAAGGAAGTTTCTCACTGGTAAATTTCCATCACAAAATACATGTTGAAAGAATAGCATACCTAGTGAAATTATCTTGACTTGGGACACATTCCAATTGGATAAGGAAGGTATTTTGATGTTTTGGCAAAACTACAAAAATATACCTGATTGTTAGGAAGTCAACACCCAACATGTTTTTGCCATAACTTCTTAGGGATTGTTGGATTCAGCTGGTATTTGACAGGGAGGTTCATTGGCCTAAAAGGTAATTTTTTTTACTAAGCCAGCCATATGGCAGAACGTGTCAATAGGGGTGCTGTGGTCGCAAACGCAAAGGTAAACCTTGAAGTGGTACGAATGATACAATAATAGGAAATGATTGTGTTCAATGTCCATCAAGGCAGCACAAGTTCAAACTGATTGCCATACATTTCTACATCTGCAAGCAACCTGTGTGCAAATAGGGGGAATGTTGCATGAATCCCTGGATTGGAAGTAATCTCATGCCTTATGGCCTCCTTCAGGGCAAGCTAATTGAAAGGTGATGTTCAATACACCCTTCCTTCCAGGAAGGTGTATTGAAACCCACAACCAGAATTCCAAGCGTAACAGACCTGGTGATTGTCAAGGACATGTGCAAGCGGCTGTGATTTACCAGTGGCAGCTGATCACTGAACAAACAATGCAATAGCAATCACACATCTCTGATGATACAGGCAATGTACCATCCTGTTGGAAGATAACATCTCCTGGTCATCCTCAATGCTGCAGCTGTGGCAGAACCACTTCCTCCAGCATGTAATGGTGTCAGGAGCTTGTTCAGCTCTTAGTCCCTATGGTATTGGTTCTTCAAATAAGAATAGTCTGACAAAGAAGTCAGATGCAATGCCACATCAAACAGTAACTTTGGAGTTGTGCAAGGGCATATCTACCATGTTGTTCTCACCAAACAATAGCCTCCTGTCCATTAGTGGCCTTGGATAGATGAAAGTGGGCCTCACCTGTCCACAAAATATGCCACAATAAATCAGAATTGTCTTAAGTGTGAGATAGGAATTTGAGGGTGAATGTAAGGCATTGCTCCCAGGGTTCACACTAGCTTTTTTAAATCTTGAGTCCTGGCATCTAGCTTCAGCTCAGTGGGAACATGTTCAGGTGGTTGTCAATTAGCCCCACAGACTTAGATGTTTGGCAAATATGAATCAGTCGCTCACCATAACAAGTCAACATGAACCCTGGCTCCTTATATCTTGTCAATGGCTGTTAAATGTGCTGCAAATGATATGGATAGTCGCAAAGGAGAGAGAAAACTGTCATGAATGAAACTGGAATGGGCATTTCCAAACAACTGGCAATGTGTTGTGCTGAACATTCCATGAGCAGATGTACTTACCAATTCTTGGTGAGCATGGCATGCCTTGGCAACTACCACAACCAAAGTTGATAGCTGACCATCATGTGCAATCTCCCACATTGCCAGTTTCTTCACATCAAGTAAAATTTTCCTGTACTGCCTGTAAATAGCATGGTACCTTAAAAATTTGTGTTCTGTCTGGTGATAGTTTTCACTTTGGTTATTAACATCCAATCAATTCAACACAATGCTGAACTGAGAGCTCCAGCATCTTGCTGGATGATGTGAATGCCATACATACTCTTCACTGCTTACCTTTGCATGTGACCAAAGCACCCCCATCAACATGTACTGCCATTTGGCAGGCACAGTGAAAAAAGATTTCAGGCCAACAAACCTCTATCAAATATTAGCTGCATTCAACAGTCCTGTCAAGATGTATGGTCAAACAAACTTGGAGGGTGACTTCATAACAACTCTATATATACATAATATAAGGTGAACACAATTAGTAGAGCAAACTTACTAATTCAGGTATTTACTGTTATTTCGAGTAAAAGACCAACAATACAGTCAAGCACCCATCCTTTGGGAGGTTAAGCCTTGAGCCCCATAATATAAGTGGAGCTGGTACAGGGCAGAGGCACTGTTCCCATGGCAACATTCTTCCCTTATGGAATAAAGAATTCCTTTCCAGTCTTTGTAGTCTATGGAGGAAATATACCACTGGTACCAATACATAAGCTGAGAAACTGACTGATATATATTTACATTGCCTTCAAAACAAACACCAACATCTGGAGAAGATGCAATATAATGAGACTTATGTAAAACTGTGATTGAACACAAGGATTTGCTTCAGACCACTCATGCCTCCAGATGGCATTGCATTTTTTAAGGCAGCTTGGTACATATCAATGTGAACCAATTCATGGGCTGGAGGAACCAGGCTACCTTTACGCACCATGTCCACAAGATGCTCCAGCATGTCCAGTCTCTCTTTGCTATCACTATTAATGCGATTCCATTTAGTCATCCAAAAGCCAAGGATATGGGCTTTCTTAAATATAAGGGCTGACACAGGGACAAGAAGGGGCTGTCTGCTCATACCTCCATATATGACTAGAGTTGGACTGTGATCCATTTTATGCAGCATGTCAGAGCCACTCTTTCCAGCAACACAATTGAAGCCCAATAATGGCAGCTTCAACCCATTCTTTTTTACATCAAAACTTTTAAGTTCCTCTTCTGTAACCACATGATCAGCACCTAATTCATACAGTTGATCCTTCAAAGATTTTATGCCAGGTCGATCTCTCACAATATTGATAGTTTTCAAACCAAGGTGATGTGCTACTTGAATGACAGCTTGCCCAACACTGCTGTTGGCTCCATTCTGTATGATGGAGTCCCCTGGTTGAACATTCACAAAGTCATGTAAAAGTCTATAAGCTGTACAAGGGTTCACAGCTATTGTTGCAGCACTAATAGCAGATATGTCATTCGGTATTCTTAATAAATCTTCTGAGTTGCAGACAGCATGGCTTCTCCATGTCCCCCATGTATCTTTTTTAGGCAAGACCCAATCTCCTACTTTCAAGTTCATAACATCAGAGCCAACTTGGGAAATTTTCCCAACTCCTTCATTTCCTGGTATACTCGGAAGTGATGGTTTTATGGCATACACACCTTGAATGGTATTGATATCTGCAGGATTGACAGGAGATGCCAGCATCTCCACGATCACTTCATGAGATTGTGGTTCTGTTGGTAAGGAGATGGCTTCCTTCCGTACAACCTTTACAGGATCCCCATATTCAGAATAAATGAGCTGGCAAGTAGAAGTCGTACTTGATGAGAACGCTCTCCTGACTCCCGTCTTCCGAATCTCGCTGATACGGCTGATCGCTCTTCCATGACATGGAGGCTTCGTCACGAAAGATCTGATCCTCCAACAGCGGATAATGCAGCGAGCTTGAGCTACTGATGCCATAACATTCAAGTGAACCCTCTGCACACCTCAACACCTGTAATGCTTCCAATGGATAAAGCACTAATGATGCGACACGTCATTCCCATGCGGGCCTCATCTGCAAGCGCGAATGAACGACAACGTAGACTAGGAAGCGGCCATGCGAGATTTTCAATTGCCCTGTCCTCTTCGGAAATGTCTTGATCACTACAGTACCGTTTTCATAGATAGATGTCGCTTACTATCCGTGTCCGCATTGTTGGAAGATTTTTATTCTGTTCTGAACTCTTCAAGAGGACATGAATGTAATCGAATTGCTCACATGCCCTTTTCCAGTAGAAGTCCTATCTCCGAGGCGAAAAAAACTTTACACGCGACCTCAAAAATATATTAATAAAAGGTTAAGTTGGAAAAAATATTTGCAAGTGAGATCTGCAGCACACTGGCTGGAGCTTCGTCGCAACATTTTATTTTAAATATTGTCACATTTCGAACTTCACATGTAACGTCGTGCCCATTCCGTTCACGATTAGGTCGAGGGAAATGAGAACCAGAACATACTCAAGTATTCATTCCTTACAGAACTCATAATAGGCTTACGTTGCCCGAATCTCGTCTGAAGGAGTTTGACTCCTTCGTTCCTTGAAATTACTTCATCTAAATTTATGGAACCAGTGCCGCATGACCATATGCAAAAAATGTTCTGCAATCCGTCACTGAAGAACATTCGAAGCAGGATAAAATGCTACTTTGTGCGTTGCCTATATTCCAGGGAAGGAGAGGGACACCTAAGCGTTACCCTGACAGAGCTAAGGGCAGCTTTGGGAGATGTGGAAGCAATTCCTCGGGCCGCCGTGAACGCGCAACAATCAAGGCATGTTTAACTGTCGGTGGTGATGCTTGAATAATTGTCTTCTGATGGTTTGCACGGTGAATACGATCTGAACGGAACGCGTGATGAAAAGCAATCAACTGCATTACAAAAGAAAAAGAAAAATTGGAGGAAGGTTGCACTTCATCATGCGCTGGGCCGCAGATACATAATTCCTTTTCTTCAGCATTTAACTATTGATAGAATGACCAAATGGAAAGCGAAAAGAGCTCCAGGGATTTCGGACCGATCGGTCTGCACTCCTGAAAAGGCGAGCGAATAAGTCATCTATCGGCCACGCTACAAATATCTGAGTATGCTTGAAACACTCGAGCTTCTCCCCCCCCCCTCATCCGTTCCATCCCCGTACTCATTTCAACCTTGGTTGATCTGGTTTCATGAAATATCCACCAATACGGAAATGGACCGACTGACGACACATTTCAAACGCTTCCTTCAGTTATCTAACGAGGGGACTAATTTCCGGAAACGGCACATTTGCAAAGGTGCTTCAAAATGCAGAGATGGCTCAATTGGTGGTTCAGATTTGGTTCTGCACTAGTACAGGGTGGCGCACTTAAAAGTAGCCCGTACCCGTGCAGTCAATTATTAAGTCACAACCCTCACACACATGTCGAGTTGGAAGCAAACATCCAAGCAGAAATTGCAGCCATTCAAGAGAAGGAAATCAAGTCGGTGGCAATGAACTGCCTGAAATTGCTCAGCAATGTCTGGATGTGGGGGGAGGGCACTTCCAGCATCTCCTATAGGTGAGTGATACGGGCCACTTTTAAGTGCGCCACCCTGTATAATGTCTCTCGAAGCTTTCCAAGCTTTTGGGTAATCCTCCAAGTCTTCGTATACTGGTACATACGACAGAGGCTTTGCCGTTTCTTGTGCTGCAACGGGAAACTTTTTTTTTCGAAGTCCTCTCTTGTCGTCAAAAGTCTTGATGCCTCTCATCCATATAGCCTCACATAAGAGGAAATCGTCAATGTTCTACGATTCTCTCTTAACCATCCTCGATTCGTTTCGGAATTAATCTCACAAGGGCACAGCAAGAAATGACAAAAATGACTCGTCCGCGGGACTGTTCATCCAGCTTTCGACATCATTTTTCGACGCATCAGTTTTTTCAAAAGCTTTTGTAGAGTGCAAATAATATACATACAGAGATTAGTGGTAACTGGGGTTTTAGATGAGGTTATGAGAGGAAACGGGGGAGGGGGGGGGGGGGTTAGGCGGGGTCCCAGCGTGAGGTCGCATTCAAGGACCTTGATCTTGATCCTCTCGTGTCTGGAGGCCAATCGTATCGTATCGTATGAAACTCAGAGGGATTCTGAAGGAAGAATGGAAATGAAATTTGAGGTGAAGGGATGGCCATCTCGGGAAGATTCTCGTGCAATTGAAAAGCGTCAAATTCTTCTCGGCGCTCTAAGGAACTTAACCGACCACACTTGACCCCTTCGCCGAGTTGCGAGGTCTGTAAATGTCCGAGAAGATAAAGTTGAAGCAACAGGGTAAGACAACAAAAAACACCTCGACTCGGAAGCTGCAAATTTATTCTCTCACGGGCTCTATTTTCACGAAACTGCATGGATCGATATTTTCCCCACTGACTTGTGTATTTCATCCAAATCCATTTCGTCAAAGCAACCAGCGAGTGTTTAAAAGAAGTATTAAAAAAAAAAGAAAATTAACTGGAGCCTATATATCTGGGTGAGAAAGTATCAATACTCGAAGTCTCTTCATTTTTTCCGCCTCGCTTACTTTGAAAGCGGTTGGGCGGAGTAGCGTCACTCTCAAGAGTGGATTGGATCGTCCATTTTCAATTTCCGAATTCTTATAAATAACCGCTCACATCCTTGTTTTGACTGAATAAATTTGAATAAAATAGACATGTGTTGGGATGGAATCAGCCCGTCCATCGCGTGGATGAGATGAGAATTGCTTTAGTAAGAACGGAGATAGATGGGTTCAATCTCGAGAGCCTCACTTGCTATCAAATCTATTCCTCCACCCACCAATATTGAAGTACTGCCCAGTTTAAAATCCCAATTGGAATATTCCAGCTGGATTAAATCCAGAAAATTCTGAAAATAGTAGATACTGGTTGGTTTATAGCTGGAAGTTTCCAACTTGAATACAACTGAATTTACAACTGAAATTCAGCTGTTTTAAAAAATATTCAACAAAAAGATTCTCATTCAGTCAGTGATATTGCAACTAGGAACCAATCTGGATCTGACTACTTTCCAGCTGCTACCCAGTTGGAATGGGTCCGAATTTCCAGCTGGGATCCAGCTGGAAATTATGGCTGTTTCCAGCCGGGATTTTAAGCTGGGTGGTACCACTGCTTCTCGGCATTTAATATTATCGCACATCAACATCGGTGACAATTTAATCAGTATTGCCCCGAGAACGCACATTGTGCAGTGACTCTCATCAGATGGGACACATTTCAATTCATGAAATATTCTCCAGGTAGAATGGCGCAATGAAGAACGATCACTTATCGAATCGTAATCGAGAGAACACGTTCGAGGAGAAAACTAAGGAAGTGATGAAAGTTTTGAAGGGGGTCAAATGGATTGAAGTGGTTCAGGACAGGATGAAATGGCGAATGCAAGGGGAGGCCTCGGTCCAGCGATGGAAAGAAAATGGTTCGCGATGAGAATCGGCTCCATGCCCCATCCGGATCATCGAGCCATTACGAAACCGAGGCATAGCGAGATGGTTCCTGCTGCTGCTCTTCGCTCTCCTGCCTCCCATGCGTGGCCTTTTAGACGAGAGCTGACATTATTCTTCGACTCGAGGGCATGTATTTATGCAGACCGATCGATTAGTGAAAGTTTCTACCAGAAGAGAATGCCTGCGTTGCTTGTGGGCGCTGAGGTATTCACGTGGCGATATCGACTTTCGAGGGGAGACCCCGTAAGGTCGTAATTGCTCATAATCTGCGGTCGAGATCTGATGATTGATGACTGTCGACAGGTAATGGCAAGAAATGGGTCATCAGGAGAGTGCCCAATGCCCATTCCCACTTTTTCCTTCATATCACATCTCACGACCGGAATCTGATAATTAACTCTTTAACAGTCCTCTCTCGCCTTTAAGCTCTTTACGGCCCCTTCCTCGTGTTTTAAGAAAGTCATTTTAGCGTCGAGAAATGAAAAGCCCGATGTGGGTGCAGATGAGCCAGGTATAGCCGATTTCGATTCCCGCTCCTCTTACGAATTTGCTGCTTAAAGCAACTGGATCGGGAAGCCTAGAGGGTTGTTAAAGGGTTAAGCTTGCTCGATTCTATTCTCCTTACGTATTCGCCTCACATGTCTCCTTCCTCCATAGCGTTGCGACTCTTCTTCGACTCAACTTCTGCAAATTTTTATTCCACTCAAGTCGCTTGATTTTAATGAAGATATAAAAAAACTTGGCTCTCAATGCGTCGGAGATGCACATATAAGCAAACTATTGACGCTACTGAAAACAAACAAACAACTCTAAGTAGACCGAGGAGTGAAATAAGATCTCACGCTCAGCCTTCCGGAGGAGGGGATGCTGTCAGAGACGAGAGGAGGCAGGAAGGCACTTGCGACGCAGGCGAGCAGCCGGTCAGCCTTCCTTGCCACTCCAGCTTCATCCGAGTCCTCAATTTTTCATTCTCGGATCAACATTTACCGCAGATTTACCGCTGAACATTTTCGAACGATGCTCTGATATGGCTATATTCGATCCTGCACACTTGGGAAAAGGTGAGCATTAACTCCAATTTTCCTCTCTTTGTCCTCTTTTTTCCTCCCTTCACCCAGGAAAATAAAAAAAGGGGAGAAAATTGGAGCGATTTTTCTCTCTTTTTCTTTCTTCTCGGTGTAAAACGAGAGGAAAAATGGAGTTAAAGTTCGCTTGTTTTTCAGGGAACACGCGCTTATGCCGAATTTCATCGGACAACAACAACGTTTTGGAGAGTTTTTAGAATGGCAAGCAAAACTAAACAATTATTTTCAAGGTTTTTGGGCAACCGAATACTTTAAAACGAAACTCTTACTTGACTATTAAATATTAAAGTAACAGTATTAGACCAACTATCAAAGCAAATGTCATCATTTTACTCTTCGCAGTATTCAATATGTACTTGGAAACGCCATGGAAA